GGCGGAGCGCGGCGAGGGAGACAGCCGCTGTGGGGGCTGCTCCGGCGGCTGGGATTGCGGCGGTGACGGTTGGAGGTGGACGGCGGAGTAGGTTCCGGTGAGGTGCTAGCCGGCGGCGGACAAAAGGTCCAGGCGGCGGGGGTGGCGCACGGCCGGGCCGGCGTTGCGCGGCCACAAACAGAAGCCAGAAACAGCCGGCGTCGGGAGGGAGGAAAAAGGGAAGGAGCTGGGGTGGCGCGACGGCGCGAGGCGACGGTGGCTGGGCCGGCGAGGACAAGCCGGCGTCGGTCGGGGAGCAAGAAAGAGCAGCAGAATAGTCGTCGTTCGGGAGGGGCAAGCCAGCGAAGGAGAAGAAGAAAAAGGGAGAAAGAAAAAGGGAAAAGAAAAGAAAAAGGGGAAAAGAAAGGAGAGAGAGAAGGAGTGGGTGGGGGTCAGACGCAGCAGAGGGGAAACGTGCGGGCAAGGGGTTTCGGCGCGGCAGAAGGAGAGAGAGAGAGAAAGAGAGAGAGAGGGGATAATAATAAAAAAAAAAAAACTTCATTCAAATATTAAATGCGATCCGATGGCCCAAATTCAAAATCGAAAACAATCTACCGGTCTAAAATGAGCCTCGCATATAATAAGAGACAAATGCCAAATTAATTAAACACAATTATAACGAGGGAGGTCTACTTGTCCAAATTTGTACCCGGTCGAAAATTCACTTTTCCACTATTTCTGACAATCTCGATGTTGGCCACGACCCGATCGACACCGTCCAATTTATTTCGTCCTAGAACTCCGAGAAATTCGACACCAAAGTTTGGGCTCTAAATAACGGCTAAATTCGATCGAGTGCGATTCTAGTGAAATCTCAATTTTAAAAATAATAACCGGGAGTGATCAGTTCCCGGGCGAGATTTTACTATAAGCACACTGACGAATTACACGTTTTATAAATCCCAAAAATCGGTCGAAATTCGGAATGTCACACTAGTTGCGTAAGAAGTGCGATATTATCTCGTATTTCACTTATCTTCTAGCCGGCTCCTAAAAAGCTAGTGGCGATCTCAAATTAGGATATAACTCTCGTAAGCTAATCAACTAAAATGACAAAACCCACCATCTTGCGAGATAAGGATTTGGGAGAACTAGCATCAATTGAGGACCGTTGATCCACTTTCGACATTACCATTAAACTAGCTTCCCTGAACCCTGCTCAAGAAGGGTCAAGGGTTGCGACACTGATTCAACTAATTTAGGCTAGATTAGGAGGGGAAATAAGGAGGAGACAATCACCGATGCTAAACAAAGGGAGCATAATCAACTATAATTGGGCGAGAATGGTAATGGGTATTTCAGAATCATGATTGCTAGGGTTTAAGAAAGGTTTTAGGGTTTATGTAGAGGAACTACCACCATGGTAAACCTATCAAATGGGTGGGTGTCGGTTAAAAAAAAGTTCGCCCCAAATTGACCAATTTCGATACAAATACAAATTTAGTGAATTAAACCCAACCTGACCTATATTGTTAAAATGCTTTTATATTTTATCAAATTTAGGAAAACTCATATCTGAATTAAGATGAAAGCATGAAGTGAACGAACGTGAGAGCAAGAGAAAGTCAGAGAGATGGGTTGGGTCTAAGTAAGTTGTGAATCCACTTAACACCTAGGAAGCACCGACACGCTATTTGAGCTTCTGAATCGGTGTCCGACACGTGTCGCATGTCCGACACGCTCCGACACGCTCGGACATGCGGCCGACATGGTTGGACATGCGGTCAACGCGTGCCGGAGATCCGACACGCGGTCAACACGTCGGACACGTCGGCGACACCCGAGTCGGGAATCCGACACGCGATTTTCGACACGCACGGGGTTAATTTTACAAATTTCCAAAAAATTTAGGGGTCAAAATGTAAATTTATAAAAAAAAGTAAAAAAAGTAAAAAGAAAAGCAGAGAAAGCTCGATTACTTCTGTTTGCCCTAAGCTTCTTTCCTCCGCATAGCTCCTCAAGACCCTTTCCTCCGCCGGATCTCCTCAAGATCCTTTCCTCCGCCGTGATTGCTTTTCTTGAACGTTTTGCATCTCGCTTTTCGCTGGGTACCGTCTGCTCCCCACCCGCCACCAAATTACCCTTCGGCGCCGCCGCTCGAGGCCTACCCAGGGCCTGTGCCGCTGCCGCCTCAACCTCCCTTCGAGGGGTACCAGCGATATTTCGCCAGAGGGTATCCTCCGCCGCTGACGTCGCCTCCTCGTTACCCCACCACCACCGTCGCAGCCGACGTCGTTCCCCTTTTGCCCCTTTTCTTTTTGTACCTTCAGATGTATGTTTCTTTTCGAAGAGGCCTTTGCCTCCTCTGGTTGTGATCCCCCGGAGGGATGATCAAGTGTGGATTGCTTTTTTTGTTTTTTTGTTTTTGTTAAATGTTAAATTTGATGGTGGTTTGTGGATTGCTTATTTTATTTTCTCCAAGTTTTATGGATTATTGGAATTGAATGTAGTTGAATTTGTTAAATTGAAACAATGAATTATATTAACAAATGGTGGCTTAATGTTTTTACTGTAAATTCATTTTAGGCTCCTTTTTTCTTATTATTTATTTATTTATGGATTTGAATCAAATTAATTTATCATGAATGTATAAAAATTTACTTTTTATATACAACGTGTCGCAACGTGTCGGAATTCTGTATTTTTGAGAAATAATGTGTCGCGTGTCATGTCGTGCCATGTCGCGTGTCGCGTGTCGGTGCTACTTAGCTTAACACTCATATTAAATCCATTGATAACCCATAGAGTCGAGTCTTCACTCATTTATGACATATTTATTAAATATAACTAATTCATATAACAATCTAGCTCATCAAATATGGGTTAAAAAATGGATTTATGACCTATTTTGACAAATCTAAACCATGGGTAGAGAGAGCTCTTCCCAATGAGAGACTACAACATTTTAACCCTAACTTGCCGGTTAGCAAGCCTAACAATTTTGTATATATTTTTTCTCTCGTACAACTCAAGACTACAAACGTTCTCGAATTTTGTATATGTTTTTGTGCTGGTTTGTCGTAGTGGATATGTTTTTTCTTACGGTAATGTTGGGGGTTGCTAGCACCATTAACCCTTGCTCGCTATTTTGCCAATCAATTGAATTCCTTGAAAAATCAAATTTAAGCTCATATCGCATTTTTGAAAAAAGAGATTTCCTTTTTCCACCATTATACCATTTGCCACATGTTTCAAGTTTGTTTCTAAACTAATCACGAAAAGAAGAGAAAGCATTTTAGATGACTGATACACTATGAAGCAATGATATAACGGTGCAATCAATCATTCATTAATGTCCATGCATCTCGAATCTCATTCTATTTAGCGCTACATGTATTTACATCTCACCTTCGATTGATATGTTATCCCCATGTGTATGTCAATCTAAATATTTCTCTAGAAAAACATTCTGAAATTTTGAAGATACGAGCATTATTCTTGCATTTGCATGACCCCATTGGTCGTTTGAGAGGGAGAGATCACCAATGAGTTTCGATAAACCAAAAAAAATAAAGCATGGCAGGCGTCTACATCATCAGAACCCATCATGTATTGATAAAGTGAATTTCCTATTTTTTACCAATGAAGAAAAAGTTGATTGAAAAAGAGCGGGCGGTTTCGATGTGGGAACCCAAAAGTGAGAAGACACGTGGGGGTCCCACCACTTCGCTTCGGCAAATCCCAAGTTACTGGAGATCGGGAAAGGCAAAAACCTAGACCAACCAGTGGCCAGTCCAGCTGAAGCAACGACCAATCAAGTTAGTTCCGGTCACCACGCCCAATTATCTATTACCCCCTCAAAGTTGGAGGCCATGTGCTACTTGCGCAGGTAGACCATAAATTAGTCCCGTGATCTAAGTCAACCTGATAAATTCATCCGCTTCCAGCAGCGTCCAAGAAATGACTTGACTCGCATTGCTGTAGTCAACAGAGAATTCAACCCATATACGCATAAAATACGTTAATTTCTGCTTATGATCAACTCTTGCCAGCAAAGTAGCTCGCATGACAGTAAACAAGCATTAACCTTTTTCATGGAACGAGTCTTTTCTTGTTTTCATCTTTTTGATCCCGTAATTTGCGGTTTGCGCGATGTTATGGACATAATGGTTTTTCACACATTTTTGAGTTAAGTTTGCATTCTTGATTTAGTCAAAGGAAACCTATGCGGAGATTAGAGAATTCTCAAATACCCGAAAAGATTGTGTTGATAATAGAACATAAGACGCCGCATTAATTTATTTGGCCAAAAAGCTCATTATAGTTATATGTTCAAATGTATTCTTGATTTCTGCCTCCTCATGCTTCTGCTTTAGAAGATACTGGACACTGAGATCTAAGTATTTTCCGGAAACTAAAATTCGGCCTGTCATATTCCCATTCTCTTTGCAATTCACACTTCTTCTCGCCGTTCTACTTCTATCTCATTCATTTCTTTTCAGCAAACAAATTTCCGGTGACAAGAAGCAGTGGTTGGTTCCCCAGATAGCCCATTTTACGGTATTCACACGAAAGTTCAGTAATTATTATTGCGCTGCTGCATACTTCAAGTTAGTAATGAAATCTTCTTTTGACCCAAAAATAGAAAAGTGAGAAGAAAGAAGAGACCATTTCGGCAGCAAAGAAGGGAGGGCAAAGGAGGAGTAGGTTGGAGCTGACTCGCCAACCAAGGCGAGCCCCATGACGAGGTGCGTAGCGATTGGTCGAGGTGAACGTGGGGCGTTGTGAGCTGTCAAGAGGGCATTGGCTCACCCCGCACATCATTGTACGATACGTAGACGAGCCCTATATGAATTTATGTTATGATTTCCCATTTCTTTATTCCTTCTCCTCCTTGTTCTGGAGCTTGCGTAAGTCTTGTCCTGAAACCACTTCTTTCTTTTTTTTCATTTTTTGTTCCGTCCTTTCCCAGTGAAAACCCAATATGTAATGTCGCTCTCTCGCTCTCTCTCTCTCTCCCCCCATCTTTACTCTTTGTTTCTTAAACATTGCCAAAAGGAGACAAGTCCATCCTGTTTTGATTCTTCTTGCTCCATTTGTTTCAATATTTTCGCTTGTTTGGACTCCTATTTTCCCACTTTCTCGTATTCTTTCGTTCTTTTCCTCTTCGTGGGTTCATTATTCTTTCTCCCATTTTGTGGGTGGGAGCTTGAAGTAGATAAGAGCGAGGATAGCGAATACTTGAATATGTTATAAAAAACATTCCAGTAGTGTTTGTGGTCTCCCAGCAAAGAGATTGACACATCAAGAATCCAAAAGAAAGATCTTCCCTATCTCTCTCTCTCTCTTTGTGGGTTATTCTGCAATCGGCCATAACTGTTCTTTCTGATGCTTCCCTCACTCTTGATGACAAATTTGACAGGATGTGCATGATTTTGAACCTGTAAATAGTTTGGGGTTTCTGGGTTATTTCCATTTTCGTGTAGAGCGAGAGAGACACTCTCGTCTTGGCCTCAAGAGCAAGATTTTTCTTCAGCAGCAGCAAATTTTCACGTATTTTAGGTGAAAGTGTTGTCGAGAGATTCGTAGGGTTATTTTGTGAGATGGGTTATGTGGCTTATTTTCACCTTAGTCCTTTTCAGGAACATGGCGAGAGGCAAAATTCAGATGAAGCGAATAGAGAAAGCAACGAGCAGGCAAGCCACCTTCTCGAAGCGCCGGAACGGGATGATGAAGAAGGCTTACGAGCTGTCGGTTTTATGCGATGCCGAAATCGCGGTCATCAGCTTCTCTCAGAGAGGAAGACTTTATGAGTTCTCAAGCTCCAAGTACGTCTCAAACATTTCATTTTCATCCAAGCAATGTAGTGTTTTTGTTAGATTTCTTATTTTAGTTGAATGCTTTTTCATATTTGCATTTTTAGGCTGTGAACAAAGAACTTGGGAAACTTAATGAATGTCTGAAAATGGAACTAGGTATTGGTACTTGCACCAGTTAGAGTCTAGTGTACGATGATGTCTCGTTTTTCAATTTTTTTTGATGACTCCCCCCAATTCGCCACTACTCGTCTATAGTACCTACTGCGCTGCACTGACGTGGTGAACTTTTTCTCTTTCAGAAAAATAAAAAAAGCTTTTTTACACTACATATATGATGCTGCAGGTGATTTTTCCCAGATACGCTCCTCAAATTAGCGATCTTAACCTGCTTGTGCGTTCAAAAGTTTAATTTTGTGCTATGTACTTCATATGATATCGTATAAATCAAAATTGGTGCAGTCACATTCATCTGGAGCTTAAATCACCGCTGTTTCTGCATATAATCCTACATATATGAAGCTGCGCATGCAAACGCTGTTATCTGAGTACTATTTCCGCCATGGAGTTACTTTTTCCTTTTCCAACAATGATCCCTATGGAGTTTACATTGGTTGAATTGAAGTTCAGCACAGAGGGTTGTTTGACTCGTAAAAATTGGCAAGACTATTGGTCTTTTGGTTTAACAGAACTTGTGTCTTTGTTGATTCCTTCCCAAGATTGTTCTCCTTTTCTTGCAAGAGTCATGTTTTCTGTGTCTGAAAATCAGAATGGACTGTCTATTCAACTTATCTAACGGTATATGGAGGTTGATTCTAGAATTACAAGCTATGATAGTTGTGTATAAGTTAGGTTTTCTGAGGTTTATGTATATAGCCTAAGTTATCACATGGTTCCATTTCTGGCATCTTTTCTTGCCAAATATCTAAATCGCTGATCAGTCGATACTCTTAGTATTGATTATTCGTGAGAATTCTACACTGGCATCATTAAAGGTCATGTTCCATTCCATCTCTATATAAAGAGCAAATTTTGAAAACTGTCACATAGCATGCTCAAATGTTGGAGTGTTGTGGTCTAGACATTCCTAACGTCTGTATGCTCATGTTTGTCTAACAAGAGACTCTAACAGTATGTAATGCGCTGTTGCATACCATAAACACCTCATATTCTATAGCAGGTCTTGTGTCATGGTTTCCAGAAAAACAGTTAGGAATTGTGCTTTTCTTTTTTGGCAGGGGTTTCAGTTTTTAATGTAAAACGTTTGATAGTAATTATCAATAGACGACGATGAGAAGGACTAAGTAAAAGCCAGGAATTGAGAGAGGAGCTTCTGGGTATGATAAATCAATTAGAGGAATATGTCGAGATTTTCAATGACATTGACAGTGGATTTAACAGTCAGTTTCATTTTCACAGTCAACTATACTGGTCAGTGAAAACCAGAAGTTTACCGAAATGAAGTCATAGCAAAGTCCACAAAACGAGAATAATCAAGAAGGTTTGGGGAAAAAAAAATCTCGAGGCACTTCAACAGGCTTTAAAATCTCACCACGCAAGTTACCCCTTCCATGTTCTTGATTTGCATCGCAGCTATGATGTCTCATATACACTCAATGGTCATCAATTTGCTTCTGCCGTGGCTGACCTCTTTGGATAATTAGCTTCGTTTTTCACTGGAGTTGAATGAACTATCGCATTGGAAGTTTGGATTCCCCTTGTATGTATATCTTAGTGAATCAAGAATTAGTACATCCTTAAAACATAAAGAACAACATAAAAAGAGTTGAATGATCAAGTACATAGGTAAGATCCTCCCAAGTTGGTACAGTGTAGTGTTTTTCTTTTTCTCCCACATTTAGTTGTTGCTTGCTCGCGATAGTGAACTGCAAAAAGCAGGGTACAGATTGCTGTTTAAGATAGATTGTGCCTCTAGAGTTCCTCCGTTTTCACACATCTATTTAATATCACAGCATATGGAAAGAACGCGTTTTGCACTTCCTCATGAGTCATGACTCTTGATCGAGTAAAAAGTTAACATGGCAAGAAAGAGCTAGGAGAGTACATTCACCGCCCATGTAAGCTGACACTTTAGTACTCTATATTCTTAAAGTATTGCGATCAACATCTGTCTTTCTATGCTCCATTCTAATGTACATCCTCTCCATGAAATCATCTATGCACAAGAGCATCTGATGGCGGTAATTTTGCATGTCCAACCCATTTCAATCAAGTTTCTATCGTCCTATTCTGCATTGAGCCATATCCACTTTACCTAGACATGCTAATCTCAAGCTGTCTTTTCTTGAACAAAAATGATAATTGTCTTACAAAAAATCACACATGATATGACGTTAAGGACTCCAAGAACATGCATATAACATCTCATTTCTTTGTTTTGTTTCCTGGACTTACGGTAAGCTCCCGACTCTATGCAATTGCAAATCAGTACCTACCAAAACTACTCTTATCAGCTTATAAATGATGTCCACTTTGGCAAAAAGACAGGCTTATGAATGAGGTTTCTCCTATGTTTAATGATACGTAAACACTGCTATACTCTTGTTTAGTGCCCTTATGATCATAGTCTAGATTCATTTTTTTTCATTTGAGAGAAAGAAGTCAGTTGAGGCAATTGATTAAGTTTTCAAGCGTGTGATTAAACCCGTTCTTGGTAGCAATACTGTGTGAAGCAATGGTATGTATACTAAAACCGATTTGCAAAATTTCGGGAAACTAGAGTATGGCATTTCTACAAGTGGGGCATTTTCCAGACCTCATCAAAGTCCTCTAGATATGAGAGTCGACACTTTTCTGGTTTTACCTAAACTAAAAATTGAATGGAGAAGGACAAGCAAAATTCAAATTCTCCAATATGTCAAATATATTTTGCTAGGTCGTTAACAAAACTGTTAGTTTTTGGTTGTTTATGTATGAAGTTTGGATAAGCAAGGTTAATTATTTGGATTTGTAAAAGGGATAAGCGTACTGGAAGTCCTAAAACTTGTCACGAAAATGCAATCGGGTTCTAAAACTTTCAAAAAGTGCAATCAAGTCCTAAAACTTATCATAAAAGTGCAATTGAGTATTAAAACTTTCAAAAGTACAATCAACGGAAGGACTTAATTGTACCAATTTGACAAGTTTTAGGACTTGATTGCATTTTTTGAAAGTTTTAGGATTCAATTGCACTTCCGTGATAAGTTTTAGGACTTAATTGCGCTTTTTTATAATTTTAAAACTCAATTGCACTTTCGTGACAAGTTTTAAGACTTCCAATGCAATTATCCCTTTTGTAAAAAGGCAACTCGGTGGAATGGTTGGGAAGGAGCTTGAAAGAAAGAAACAATGAAATGTGATTTTACAAAGCTTGGTGTATGGGAGGTTTGAAACTAGTTTTTCCACGTATAAACCAGCAGAAGAGATCCTAGATCTATAGCCTTCCACTGACTCAAAAGCCACCATTTTTTACTCTTTTCACCGACTTAGACATGGTGACTCTATAGCTAGAGTTCTCGACTGTTAAGTAAACTTGCCGCACATCTAAAACACACTAGAGAATTCTACAGAAACCTTATGCATGCTAGATTTTCTAGAAATTAGATCGATTATTTTCAAACTCCTCATTGATCCAATTTTTGTGATACTCTATGTTTCGAACTTGGCGGGCGGTAGCGCTTTAGTAAATATGTCAGCGACTCTTCATGTATGAAGTGATATTTGATGTCGATATTTTTAATTCTTCCATGAAAGACCGGATTTTTCAAGATAGGGATTGCATACTTGATGTCTCCAAATATCAGAGTCGATCCCGCCGGAACTTCTCCAATGTCTTATTTGAAACCAAAGTGTTTGACTGATGGTCATAGTGGTTGCGACATATTCGGTTCTATAGTAGACTGAGCTACTAGGTCTTGCTTCTTGGACGCCTATAAAACATTCCAAATCCTAGTGTGAATGCATAGCAGGTAGTACTCTTCCTATCATCAGCTGAGTCTGCCAGTCATTGTGACTGGAACCGAGGAGCTTGGCCATTGCACTTGGCCGGTACCAAATACCATAATTTGTAGTACCTCATAAATACCTTAGGATTCTCTTGGGATTTGGCTTGGGTTTTGTATGAATTGTGACAGTAGACTTGTTGCTTCCATGATGTCTGGCCGTGTTGCAGTGAGATACAATAGGCTGCCAATGCAGCTTCTATAGAGGTAAACGTTAGCTTTTTCTGCCCCATCTTCTTCTTTTAGTAGCTTTTCATTTGTCATGGTTTGTCATGGGTGTAGCAACCGCTTAGCAATAGTTCATTTTGAATTTCTTCGAGAGGTTCTTAGCATATTTCTTTTGAGAAATGAAGACTCTTCATTTTGGTCAATCTTGTTGCCGAGGAAGTAGTGCATCAAGCCCAAGTCCGTCATCTCGAATGTCTTCATTATTTCTTCTTTGAATTCTTGAATCATTTTATCATTATTCCCTGTATATATGAGATCATCTACATATAGAGAAACGATAAGAATTTAGACTTACCTAGGGTCTTGATGTAAAGGGTTGGCTTGCTCATGCTCCTCATGAAACCTTGGTGAAGTATTCGTCGATTCTGCCATATTATACTCGTGGTGCTTGCTTTAATCCATAGAGGGCCTTTTGGAGCTTTAGAATTTTTCTATACTTTTTGGCGACAAAGCCTAGTGGTTGTTCCACATATTCTTCTTCTTGAAGATATCCATTTAGATGTGGTGACTTTACATCCAGTTGATGTATCTTCCATTTCTTTTGTGCTGCTAAGGTTATGAGAGTCCGAATAGCGTCGAGGCGAGTCAAAGGAGTGAAAGTTTCGTTTTAGTCGATACTTGGTTGTCGTAAGTATCCTTTCACCATGAGTCTTGTCTTATGCTTCTGAATTGACCCATTTGCAATTAGTTTTGTCTTGTGCACCCATTTGGCGCCAATGATCTGTCTTTGGGGCAATCGACGAGCTCCCAAGTTTCACTTTTCTCAATCATCTCTATTTCTTCTTCCATAGCTTTTATCTATACTTTTTCTTTGGAAGTTTCTTCATAGTTTTCTGGTTCTTAGGCCGTAAAGTTGCATGTTTCGTAAAGTCTTCTAAGAGATTGTACTCTTAGTATAGGACACTCTGGAGTAGACTCTTCTTGCATCGCGCTCTGAGAGTATGGCGGTGTTACGTCTTGAGTGGAGGAATCTGACATTCCATTTTCTCTATGTTATTGTCTCCTCACGTGCTGGTGGTATGTCTGGTAAGGTGACATACTTATCGATCTTCTCTTCTTTCCAGTTCCAGACAGCATTCTCGTCTAACTCGATGTCTGTATTAATCATCAGCTTCTTAGTTTTTAGAATGTCGATTGATAGCCCTTAGATTAATTGCTGTAGCCAAGGAATATATTCTTTTCAGTCTTCTCGTCGAGTTTGTTCCTCTTTTGAATAGGGGCATTGATGTAGTAAATATAGCCGAAAACCTTTAGATGCTTCGCTGAAGGCTTCTGTCTGCTCCATGCTTTATGATTGCTTTAATTGGACATCCATTTAACAGGTATGCCGGAGTGTAGGTCCAAAACAAGTTAGGAAGTCCTTTCTCATTTAACATGGATCTCGTCTTCATGATGGTTCTATTTTTCCTTTGTACAACTCCATTTTGCTCTGGGCATAACCAATAGTTAGTTGATTATGAATGCCTTCGATCTCCAGAGAACTTGATGAACTTATTGGAGCTGTACTCGGTGCCTTGTCGCTTCATAGTACTTTGATTCTACATCACTTTGCTTTTTGACATGGTTTTTGAATTTCCTAAAAATAGAGAAAACTTTCGATCTTTCTCAAAGAAAGTAGATCCACGTCATTTTGGTATGGTAGATAATGAAATATTTTTGGTGGGACGTGGGCGTCTGCATTGGACTGCATACATCGAATGGACTAGTTCCAATGGGTTTTTTGCTCTCCATGCACTTCCAGATAGGAATAACTGCCTTGTTTAGTTATTGTACTAGTTCCAAATTCCAATGGCTTTTTTTGTCTGTCTAGGAGCAAACGCTTTAGTTACTGTACTCTGCAAAAATGTCATACTTAGAATGTATACTTCACTTCAAAAGATTGAATAATTAGTTCTTCATTTTCCAACCCACGAAAGGGGAGAGAGATGATCCCTTATGTTCGTTGTTTAGTTTATTTGGTAATGTTTTCAATTTAAGCTCGGAGCACATATCATTGAAGATCGTCCAACTCTAGATTTTTGTTTTTCGGGGAAATTATACGTTTAGATTGGACAATTTCATCTAATCAGTCTCCTGTAGAAATTGGTTTTCTGAGGGTTGACCATACTCGTGATGTTTCAGCATGCAAAATACTATAGAGCGATATCGTCAATATGCAAAAGAAGATATGGCAAAAAAGGCCAACATGGAGCAATATATGCTGGTTAGCTCTCTCTCTCTCTCTCTCTCTCTCTCTCTCTCTCTCTCTCTCTCTCTCTCTCTCTCTATGCATTATCAAACTGCAGTTTGAAAACGATATATGTAGGAAAAATTTAGAAAACAACAGTGCAGTAACTGCAGCTGGGCCACAATTCAGTGAGCATTCAGATGGCTGCATTTTTATCCCCGTTGAAAAGTGCTTTCCACCTGATCTTTATATTTTAACTGTGGTCTATGTGTCCTAACCAACTGTCTTATGACTTCAATAGTAAGTTGACAGGATAATTGACCTTTGATAAGCACCTTCAATGGGGCAAAGTGTAGTTCCTATTAACAAGCAGGTTACACTTGAAACGTGTTCTTTAGTCAAGTAGAAGAATTACTCCGTTGCTGTTGTAATTTCCAAGCCTATTGGGCGAACCATCCTTCACCCTGATTGTGCATTTTGAAAAGAACAATGGTTTCAAAGCTCTAAAGATGAATTCGTACTTATGCGGGGATGTTTCCTTCCACCGTTATAGATGTTGCTGCGTATGCTGGCCAGAAAAGAATTTTATTTCCGCAGGATTCTGTAGTAGAAAAACAAAAGCTATTAGTATGATGTTAATAAGTGTACTAGATTGTGGGTTTTTTCCTTATAGCTTAAACTTTTAAGAAAGTGGTTATTTGACATAATGTCAAGGTGCAGGTCATGAATTTTAATCTTAGCAGTCTGTTGTTTTTATTCTTTTTGTTTCACAACATTCCTTCTTACTTCGGCTGTGATTTGAGGTGATTATGTCCATATATTCTATTTCGTATAAGGTTCAACTTACACATGAAGGGAAGTATTTATACATGCACTTATTAGTTTAAATTTTATAGGAAAATGGTCATTTCACATTCGCACATTAAAAGATATGCTTTGAGCGCTTTTGACAACTTAATTTTTCAGGAAAAGTTAATTACCTGATAATAGAGCAAGCATCAAGAGTTCAAATCATCAATCGTATGCTCGCTCTTATTGAGTTATTATGGTAGTTTTCTTGTTATTTTCTTCTATTATCTAATGATCTGGTCAGTGTGGTTACATTACATTTACTTCTTGATCACATAAGTTTAGCTTACACATGAGGAGGAGCGCTAGAAAATGTATCAGATGTATATTGTGGTCTGATTTCTTGGCATTTAACTTTTAGGGAAAATGATTATTTACGGTATGATTACCTAAATCATCAAAAGTTAACCATAATGAGGCTACTCTTTCTAATTTAAAGACCTCAAGTTTGCACCATAATCTGGGAAGCTTGTTTATGTAGTAATAGATCACCCTGACCAAACTGTAAGACTACCGTTTCCTGTAATGAAATGGAGCATCATACACGGTGCATTCCATCTTAATACAAGGAATGAACTGTTAAACTCGGCTACAGATTATTAGGTAAAAGGTGGAAAACGTAGGTTCTCATTTTCATATTAAACGGTGCAAAGTGTAATCACTAAAGAAGGCGGGGATTAAGTTGTAATCTTCATAATGCTTTAAGGGTGAGATCGAGATAGAATTGCAGCAGCTGAGCATATCCTAGAAGTCTCCTGTATAAGCATTTTCATATATATAACCCTTTCTTCCACGGGATTGGTCGAGATGTCTGAAAGAGGATTCTTGGACACTTAGATAGAGAGAGACAGATATCTCAGCTATTCTTACTCGTACAACATGGCCTCGTTTCACTGCTATTGGCAGGTCTTACACGGGAGTTCTTCCAGAAGATTATGAGACATTTCAGTTCAATTACAATATAGACAAGTATTACCATGTCGAACTTAAATTACTTTCATATTGAGTTCAATTAGATTGGCTAAATCAAGTTAGCACTCACAATTAAATTTGAATTGCAGGCTTACCCTTTGTTAATGGACTGCAAAAATTATAGCTTTCCATGTTTCATCTTTCTAGAATAAAAAGTTCTCTTTGGATGCAGCATCTGAAGCATGAGGCTGTGGACATGGCAAGGCAGATTGAGCTCCTTGAACTCTCAAAACGGTCTGATCCTCATTCAAGTTACTCTCTTTCCAAATTCACGTATTATAATCTGGATTATGTCTAGGATGACCAGTTCTGAACATGTGTTAGGAAGTTTTTGGGACAAGGTTTGGGATCATGCTCAGTCAATGAACTTCAGGAGATCAGTGGACAGTTGGAGCGAAGCTTGAGCATTATCAGAGCAAACAAGGTATACGTTCACAGTTCACCATTGATGTTGAATAGAATTAGTCGCTTGCAAGTTACTTATTCTTATTTTGAGGTTGAATGTTTTAAGTCCGGAGGGGAGAGTTAAAATGTGGAGTATAATTTGCAGGACCAATTATTCAAGGAGCAAATCGAACAACTTAAAGCAAAGGTAGTGTACTTAAGAAATTGGTTTCAACTTTTCTGCCGTTCCGTCAAAGTAACATTTAGTTGACTGATCTCCTTTCATTTATCAACTAGGAGGTGTTCCTATCAGAAGAAAATTCAAGATTGCGCGAGAAGGTAAGATTGTTATTCTCTCTATCTAATCGCATCAATTCGTTTCGGGTCCCTTCATTATTCAGCCAAAAGAACTGAGAAAGCAAGCAGTAGTATTCCTGTTTTAGTATTGCTTCTTTGCTGCAACTTATCTTTCTGTGTTCCCATTGACTGTCATATGGCGTTTTTTTCTTTAATAACACGTACTTCTAGGCCTTTTTTGGCCGTAATTAGCACTGTTGGTCGAATATCTGTCCAGTGGCAATCTTTGTGGAACTTTGTCATGCCATTCTGTTGTTGTGCCAATTCTATCAAATGAATCTGATGTTGTTATTGTCGTGTTGGGAAAATGTTAGAGATGTAAAAACTTATTTAGAAAGTCAGTTTACCAAAAAATGAGAGAGATACTTGCTGGGCAGTTGAATATGAACCGCTTATTTCAATCATGTTGTGAACTACTTTTTCTGAATCAACATTCATATTCCTAGCATTTGCTTTCTGAATTTAGTTGTGCTCTAACAGCCAACTAAACTTCGTTTTATGAATTGGTAATGTGATAGTATGGCGAGATGGAAAAGCCATGGCAGTCTGCATCATCAGTTCAACCAAAAGAAGCAGGAATTTGCAGCCTAAGCAGCCAAAGTTCAGATGTCGAGACTGAATTGTTTATTGGACTGCCTGAAATGCGCTTCTGATTTTTTATTCAAAGGCATAATTGAAACACAAGCAATTCCGATCATTCGTCTCGCTGATTTTGCAAGGCCAGGCCCTCTAATAATCCATGCAGGATAACCTTTTGTCTTTCCCTATTCAAGCTTTTAAGTTTCGTCCCCTCAGTCAAGATTGTTGCGTGTAATATTCTTTCTTTGAAGCCTTGTAAACACACATGACCTCATAAGAAGCACGGAGAATGTGGATCAACAGGTTATGTCATGAATGAATGACAGATGCTGGTGCGCTTTGCTTTATGCTGGCTTAGCTTTTCGGTTGCTGTCAGAGGTATTTTCTTTCTGGGCTGCATTGTTTTTAGTGCATTCAAAAGTGTGGTCAGGTGGTAACCGTGACCAAGAGCTAGAAATGCACGGGCTCGGCCTGAACACATGTTAAATTGGGTCTGGTGAAGCACTGCAACCTTGACTATCTGGGCTTTCTCTTAAGAGATAATGACATAAATAGTCCTTAAACTTTGACTCAATATATAATTTGATTTCTGAACTTTTAATTTATTTAACGTGGTTCCTAAATTTTTAATTTGTTCAAGATGATCTATGAATTTTTTGTACATGTTCAATATGATTTTTAAATTATATGAAAATATTTAATATAGAACAAATTAAAAAATCAGTGATCATATTGCACATTAAGTTAAAGTTTAGGGATTGTTTGTGTTATTTTCTCTTTTCTTCAATAGGAGATGAGTGGGAATCTGAAAGGAGTTGATGCTAGGGTTACGAGGTGCACTCGATGTTAGATCTATTGAACAAATTTTCTTGGTATAATAGCACGAAAAAGGTCATCTTGATTTTGCTCGTAAGCACTACCAAATTAAGTTGTCATTCTAGTTTTGGCGACGGATTGAATTGTGCAGGTCATAAGCCATCCGAAAGCCAATCCAAATGCATGTGATTTACTTTATAATTTTTTGGAATGTGTGAAATTTAGTTAATGCAGCTAGGTATTCAAATTAAGATATGATAGGTCGACAATCTCCATTACTATTGATATAATAATTTCATGGAGGAAAAGTAGGGTCTGATTTCATGAGAAGTAGACATAACAGTTCAAAATAGACAATGATCTCTCTCTGTGCGTCTCCAGCGGGAATCTGTAGGGACCGAAAGGACGCAGACAAAAGAAAAATGGGACTCTCTCTCTCTCTCTCTCTCTCTATGCTTCTTCTTCGGAGGCGACAGCCTTTTCTTCTTCAGTGAAAACCATAATAAATTCAAGAAACTTAAGGATCTAACTTATCACATCTCATCCATGTCATGACAAGCCCCTCTTGTGCCCCCACCAGTGGCTTGCTTTTGCTCGTACAAGACGCTCCTTCTCCTCGCCGTTTGTCATCTTGCCATTTAAAAGATCCAATCGATTGAGCATGCAAGAGAGAAATGGTGGAACCACCAACCACTTCCGCAACTCGACCTCTGTTCATGGACATCGCACGCGGGCTCTTGGATAAGGAACATTATTATTAGTTGGCCCTTGGGAGCGGCCATGGGAGCTACCCGGGCCACCTTCAAAATTTGAAAAATCAGATTTTCTCTCTCTCTCTCTCTATCTCTATCGCTGCGGGGGTCGCAGATTCAATCTTGAACTGCGTGAGCAACAATTGTAGGCGTCAGGAATATCATGTAGGGGGGGGGAATCTGCCACGTTCTGCGCAAAGACCGATCCACAAGATGACATCACCCTCTTGCAATATGACCCCATTTGATTCTGTGTTCTGTTATTCCCCCCCATCCGGCCCTGAAATCATCTGGTTTTTTTAATGAGCAAAACCGTGCGTCTGCTTCTTGGTTCTTGTCCTGTCCTCCTCCTCCTCCTCCTCTTCCTCCATGGTCTCGAGCTCTGCGCTCTCAAGCTTTGCAGCTTATAACATACAGTATTAAAAAGAGCAGCAGATCTGAACAGTTGACAGATGCCCACTTCAACAATGTGATCGCCACCTGATGATATCTTTATGTGGGTTAGATCATAGATGTCCTTTGGTTATGCAATCTAAGGGTCGTGAAATTTTGCATTAATCAATCTGATTGGGCCTTTGGGACAGTTATCCTTTCTTTTTTTTTTATTTAAACCTTTTGCTTCCATGCAAATGGAGAAATTGACTATGCTATGAGTCACATGTCACAACCCTCATGAGCTTTGTGCTCAAGATGTCGTGACAGTCTACATATCGGGTATGGCTATCGATTTTTATAAAAATAAATAAATTAAGAAGAAACCATCAAACATTCAACTTCTGAATTGTCAAAGTCGCGCATCTAAATTAATTCATCTTATTTCCTTCCGTTCATATCTTTCTACTTCTTCCTTCATTATGCTTTATACTCGATTTTCATGCATTAGGTCGTGATCGTCTTAACTTAATTAGACTTTAGAAAAGAGGTTATAGTGCTAGATAGCGTCAACCGTGGCTAATTGTGCTAATGAGATCTAAGCTAATCATCACATCCAAGAGAATTAAGGGCATACCACATTTCAAATAGAGGAAGACCGACAAATATTTTCTCATATTGCTACTGAACCCTTCTCTCTTCCTCTGCGCTCTCCACTAGGGGGACCACATTAGCAAATGCTATTTCAAGTTCTGAGACGAGGCTGCGATGCCTAGGATGTCAATTCAGAAAATTGGGAGTCACATCAAGCAAACAACTAAAGGTTTTACGGAGTCTTATCTCCACGTAGCCGTGGTCCCGAAACTGAAAAAGGGACAAAGGGTACGCCGTGACAAGGCATGAACAAGCCCCAATCTCTGGAGAAAACTCTGAGCTAGATGAGATTTTATTAACAGTAGAATTGATAGGGGGGGGTGATGGGCCATGTGTCCTTCCTCCTTTCGAAGAACAGGAACGTGCAATCTCTTTTCGTGAATGGATACTGTAGATAGGATTAATTAGAAATAACGTGATTTTGTCTTGACATGGAGTGCGAGTTCGAGTATTTTGACGAAACATGGTTTGCCCAATTAGCCAACAGCTTCTTGCTGCTGATCATGGGATGCACCACAACCTCAAATGTCAATTTTTGTGTGGCGGGTTCTCGAGATTTTGAGAACACACGAACTCTCTTTGAAGGCACTTTCCATGGTGACGTGGGATTCCAATCGACAATTTTCTTGCGGTCCATCCAATACCCGACATCATATATTGGTAGCAGTGATGCGTGTTAAGGTCTTGTTAATCTAACGATGGAGGATTGGCACCGGTCAATCGTGCAAAATGGTCACGGCACAGTACAGAAATCTCCATTTCTGGAACTACTGTTTATTGGGTAATGATAGATGAAGGGGATTTGGGGTGCGGGAGACAGCTAGTACAGAATTAAAGTTGATAGGTGCAATCAAAACGAATTTTTCAACGGAGCAATGAAGCGGGCGTTGGACGTTTTCTCTTACTTTCTTGCAATGATTACCGGCTTCTATCGGCCCCTTTCCAGCTTCCCTGTGTTTAGGCTAGCCCCTTGAACGGGTTTCAGAGTAGGCCTGCTGCACCATTTGACCCGAAGAAAAGGACAGAGAGAGAGAGAGAGATATAGGCCTGATCTTGACGTCGATTGTCGATGCCGTCGGGAGCGTCATCGGCTCACAGCGGTCAAATGGGCAATCATCTCTCGCTGTCGGCTCAAATTGCCTTACAATTCTGGTTTTTCGTCGCTGAGTTAGTCGCCTCCTGGCTGTAAAACGTCCAATGCGCCGGAGTTCAGAGGTGAAGAACGGCTATTATTGGTGGTTACCCAATTTGCTACATACGGCTCTGCCTTGTTTGGACCACATCTCTAAATGTAACAATACTTCGTAAGCGCTTTTTTTTTTTCTTTTATCAGTAAAAGATTTACGATGGACCAAGTGTTAATACGAGCCTAGATATTGCATACTCAAATTAATAGTCACTAGGAGATATATACAACGTTCTCGAACGATCAATCATCAATTTCTCTAAATTTAACATCTTCGACAATGCATGCACTCAAAAATTACGTTCGTGGTAACTACTATAGAATTGTCGTGGACTTTATAATCCTTCGGTGGCCAAACATGATACAAGCATGCATTCCGAGTAATTTTCAATATAACAAAGGATAACGGCTACTCTTCTAAATGGTGGATCGGGCATTGAATTTCTTCTTCCCAAGAAAGTACTTGCTTAGAAATACCAGAAACTTTCTGGCAGAAAGCATCACGACCCGTTTCCAAACTTACTTCGAAAAAGCTACAACTAAAAGACAAGTTGTCCCTAGATTCCTTAGCATCATTACAATATGCGCGAAAGGGATGACATGGATGCTCCACTTTAACATTCGATCCTTGGCAGATAGCTTGTTATGTATGATGACCCAAACGTGAAAGTATACTTATGAATATTTGGACCGTTGAAGTATTATTCCACGTCGCTTGATAATGGATTATAAATGCTTTTTATATTTATATTGTCTCCCTTCATTTAATAGCTCGCGCCCTCCTTTTCGTGAATGTACATCCATACCCCATTAGCCAAATTGGTCAAGTGTTGTCTCACATCGTTTGACAACGGGTTCAACATGAACAAACCTAATTATCGCCTATTTCGAAATCTCGATTTCTAGAGTTGAGACTTCGCCAATAATAATTATGACTCAAAACGAAATATTTTTACGGGGTGTAGAAATCTCGTGATAATGTTGCCTCTCAATCCCAAATATGGTTGCTACAACTTGTTGCTCCTCTCCGCAATTCTACATATACATAATAAGTATAAAATAGTGTTTATGCCAAAAAATGATCAAGTTTTTGTTATTATCGACAAGTAATAGATTTAGTCAATAAGAGCATAATTTGATCTTTTACGTACAGAATTATCAACAATGTTAAGAATCAACAACTTAATGAATCGACAGCTTGAAGGAATCGACAAAAAAGCGAAGTCGACAATCTCATATGCATCCATCAACGTAGTGGAATAAAATAACCGTCAAGATAGTGGAGTCGAAGAAATCGTTAAGATAGTGGATTCAATGAAACCATGAAGCTAGTTGAGTCGATGTAACCGTTCGATATCCATTGTAACCTCTGTTGGTAACCATCAATTGTAGGTTCAGCAAGCCACAATGTATTCTTTGTAGAGGCCCTACGCACAAACAGACATGTTATCTTTCAATTCCCGCACTGTAGTTATAGTTTCAAGATTCGTGTCATTGATAAGATTCTTAGGTGTTTTTAGCTGTAATTTTCAGATTTGCACCGTCGATTAAATTTTGGTGTTTATCTTTGCTATAATTCCTAAGTACCTCATCGTCAATTAAATTACAGCGGTACATTTTTATGTTCTCAGGTTTTGTCGTCGGTTAAATTCCAACGAAGTTTGTGTGTTTTCGGTTCCGTTAATAGTCAAGTTGTGAATTCCCTTATCTACCTGTGATATATCCTGTTCGGAATTGCTACACATGTTTTTTTTTTTATTGGTAACCGAGGATCCGCCACCATTCCCCGGGGACGAGCTCGCACAGGTAATCGGGGGCGCCTATACCTCGGGTGAGACTAGCCCAGCAACCCACCGCCAGGGGCCCCCACTTAAATTACGGAACCGAGCGGGGATTCGAACCCATAATCTCTCTGAGGGAAGGAAAGCGCCCACCAACTCAGCCATGTGCAGGTGGGTATCGCTACACATGTTTCCTCCTATAAAAACCAAAGAACGACTTTTGGTGAAAGGTATTTCGTCGCACAATGGAATTCTGGCGAAACATCTTTTTGGCACGCCTGGTGAAACTAGTGTGGTCAATTTAAGGAAATACAATGCCAAGAACAAGAAATCATCTAGAGCTTGATCATACTATAAGTAACAACCTTGGTGACACTGCTACCCATTCTGAGACCTCACCACTCCAGTAGAAGAGCCAAGCCCGTTGAAATTTTGCGACACTTTATGGAGGAGCAGGCAAGGGAGTTAGCACCAAACTCCATTTTGGTGGCTATCATGAAGTGGTTGTTCGTGGAACAGCGAAATAAGATGGCGAATCACGTAGTGAAACACATCTCTAATGTGATCACGCCAATGGTCGCCACTGCGATCAACTATGCCATTTCTAAGCCCAGGACATCGAATCAATCCATACCGATCCAACTCAATACTTTGATTTCCAAGTATGTTCCTCCAACTCTTAGTCAATTGAAACGTGGAAATAATTTAGGCCAAGCGATCCCTGAACCTAGGTGGCAGGAAGGTCAAGTCTGTTGACCTATCTACCCTGAACTTGGAGGGTAGGAAGGGCAATGTTATCAACTTGTGAATCCTGATCAAGTGGCTGAACTTGCATTAAAAGAATTAGGTGTCAATAGAGGAATAGTCAAGCCAATATATAGGAATCCAAATTCGGACTGAGTTGACGCTATACCTTACCCAAGAGAATTCAAAACTCATCACTTCATTGTTTCCACTGGCAAAGATGATCAATCGATTGTTGAATATGTTGGTCGATTTATTTCCCAATGTGGAGAGGCAGGAACAAATGTATTCTTGAGACTTAGGTTGTTCCTTTGGGAGAAATTACTAAAAAAGTCATAAACCTATTATACTTGTGTCAATTCAGTCCAAAATTTTTCAAATTGGCCAATTTAGTCCTAAACCTATAACAATTTACCAATTGGGTCATTCTGCCTAATTTTAATCGAAAATCGTTGATGTGGACATTGGTCATCATATGTGGCATAGTTGGCATTAATGTTAAAAAATTTTGTAATTTTAAATTTTTTTAAAATTTAAAATTTTATTTATTTATTTTCTTTTTCTCTTTGCATTTTTTTCATTGTGCTGGCGAGGGCCTTGCCAGAGGCCGACGACACATAAAAGAAGGAGAATAAAATAAACATTAAAAATAGAAAAAAAAATAGAAAAAATTGTTCATGTCAATGCTGTCTATACCACATAGAACAACGGTGTCCACGTCAATGATTTTCGGCCAACATTGGCCGGAAGAACTCAATTGGCAAATTGTTAAAATGTCCATGACTGAATTGGCACTAGTGCAAAAGGTTTATGGCTTTCTTGGTAATTTTTCCATTCCATTTGTTTTTATTAAAAATTGCATTTACTTGGAATACAAATTTATTTCCTAATTGATGTAAAGACAATTCCATTCTCAATTTTATAGAACGATACTTGAGGTATCAATTGCTAATTTGGCTAGAATCTATCGATATAATAATGAGTCAGTCGATTAGATTGTAGCTTAATTCAAGAGGGCTAGGAATAAATGCCTTACTTCACTCTTAGAGGAAGAATTCACAAATTTTGCTTTCAGTGGATTGAAATTCAATCTGAGAAAAATCTGAAAGCCAAAATTTTTCTAATTTATTCCAATTGGTAACAAGAGTGTCTAAGTATGAGTAACTACTTAAGGACAAAGATAAAGGGCCACATGAAGACTTCGCACAAAACATGCATTTCGTGGGAAAATATGAGCTTTATGATGATCTGGCCAAGATAAAATTCGGCAATGAAAAATTGATTTTGCCGGTGACGATGGAGCATGCAATGACTCTTGATTATCTAATTTAAAAGAATCGAATGATCGATTAATTATTTAATTCCTTTAAAAGGGGACATTTGTTTACACAAAAAAATGATCAACTTTTAGTTATTATTGTCATGTGATAGACATAGTCGATGAGAGCAGAATTTGATCATTTATGAATAGAATTATCGACAACTTAATGAATCGATAGCTCGAAGGAATCAATAAAAAGTGAAATCGATAATCTCGGATGCAATCGTTAAATAAGTAATCATCAATGCAGTGGAATAAAGCAACTGTCAAGATACTGGAGACGAAGAAACCATCAACAAACTAGAGTTGATGAAACCGTTAGGCTACGTTTGGTGGACCGGATAAAATTCCTGATAGGATAACTTTTATCCTATCCAGTGTTTGGAGTGACGCGAAATCCGGATATGACCGGATATAGCTCGGATATAGTCCGGATAAAAAAGTCCCACCTAGGGGGTGGGATAGACCCGGATAGGATATGTAAATATGGCAAAGAATTTTAAAAAAATAGAAAACTAAATTTCAAAATATATGCAAAATCTTCTGGTATCCCTAGGGGTGTCAATGGGTCGGGTCGGGTCGGGTTTTCATGATACTCGACCTAACCCAAATATTGGACATATGTGTTCGACCCGACCCGAGACAAGACCCGAACAAGATAAAGCTACACGATCGGGCCGGGTCATGTCGGGTCGGGTCGGGGCGGGTTTTGTGTTTCAAACAATGAATTCAGAGATAGAGATAGAGAGAAGGAGACGCCATTGTTGCGGATCCCGAATTCATCATCTTCCCAGCAGCACCCCGTGCATCACCGCCCCGGCCTCAGCGATTCAACAGTCGCCGCCGCCTTCTGCGCCCGCCGTCCCGGCATCGTTGCTGCCGCAGGCGTCGACTTCGTTGTCCTGGGCAAGGCCCCGCCAGATGCGGTTCTCCGACAACAGGGACTTCACTTGCTCTCAGAGGAGGCGATTCAATTGCCCCATCTTCGCGATCTCTTGATCTTTTTCCTTGATTTTTCTAGCTAGCCCCTGCGTCTGTAAAGAAGTCAAGAACAAAGTTGTCAGGGTTTTGCTTTTGGAAATCCCAGAACCAAGTCATAAACCCTAATCAGTCCATCAAAAACTTGTCGAAACAACATAAAATGACGACGACGACGACGAGGACGACAAGAAAAGGTAAATTTTGAAAAAGGAAAGGAGGAAAGAAGGGTCGTTACATACATGTTGGGAAATCAAAGGGTCGATCTCCGATTCATGCCCCCGAGACGGTGACTCCTTGGTCATCTTGCGAGGATCGTGAGTCGCCGAAAAGCGATCGCCGCTCAAGAGGTCGTCGCCGATGGCGTCTCTGGACCGCTTGTGGTGGCGGCTCCCAAGGACAGAGACGGCGGCGGCGGCGTTGTTGTCGCCAGTCGATGATTTCGCCGCGCAGAACTCGGTGATGATGCGGTATTTCCGGAGGTGGCGGCGCGATGGCCGCGAGATCTGGTTGGGCGGCGTGGTCTCTGGTAGAAGGATGAAATCCTCCGCCGCCTGGCTAGGGTAGAAACAGGTCGTCTCATTGGTGAGCTTGAGGATGCCGCGGCCGTCGATCTCGGCGACGCCGCTGAGGGTGATGTTGCCGGCGGCGGCGGCGCGGCGGAACCCGGGGAAGAAGAAGTCGGCGGCAGGGTCCTGGGAAGAGGAGGGATCTTAAGGGTTTTGGTTATTGTTTGGGTTGAGCTTGGGTACCCAAGCCCAATAGATCCAAACAATACCTAATTATTTTTATTGTTACCCAAACAAGTTGAGGCCCAACCCGACCCAATAAAAAAATTTCGTGTTCGGGTCGGGTCGGTTCGTGTTTCGGTTCGGGTATTGTGTTTGGTTTTGACACCCCTAGCTATCCTTGCAACTTTTGCCCTCTCTTCCCATCATCTCTCACTCTTCTTCTTCTTCGACTTGTTTATGCTCTGTTCACATTCACGACTCACCACCACACGAAGGCAAGAAAGCTTTGAAAAATCCCCGAAATTCACTCTGCTTCGCTCCGACTAGTAATTAAGCTTTTGATTTTGGTCTGGATTTTTTACGCCTACGAGTACGGGTCTCGATTGTATATATACACAATCCTTGCGCTCTATTGCATTGGCAACGATGGGTTGCGCTGAAACAGAGTATCACACAGTCAAGTTTGTTCAAGACTAACTTGACAATTCTGAGGGGTTGCCACCGTGTGTATGAGTGTTACCGAGGATAAGAACGCGAAACTACAACAGCGTCACAGCTTGGGAGAGAGGAGCTTCCTCCGGTAGTTAGCGAAACAGTGAACGCATGAAGAGTGGAGGAGGTACAAGGGTGATCAAGAGAGATATTTTGAGGATTTTAAAAGCTTTTTAAAAATTCAATCCAGGTTACACCAAACATATAATATGATTTTTTACAATGCAGAGGATATTAAAAGGATTTATAATCCTACTTTATCCTATCCTATTCCAATCCAAATCTGGACGATCAAACGCAGTCTTAGGTAATAAAGTCAATGTAATAATCGTTGTTACCGTTCGGTAACCGTTTGTAACATCTGTTTGTAATTATCGATTGGAGACTCTAAATAGTCACATCGTATTCTTCGAAGAGGCCCCACGCACAAACCAAGAAACATGTTATTTTTCAATTATTGCACCATCGCGTCGTCGATTAAATCCTGTCGTGTTTCTTAGCCGTAGTTTCTAGATCCACATCATTGATTCAGTTTCAACGTGTATCCTTGTTGTAATTCTCGGGTGCTTCGTTATCGGTTAAATTCCGGGGAAATTGTTGTACTTCCAGTTCCGTTTGAAGTGATGTTGTCGATTCCCTCATCCACCCGTGATCTTTCCTCTCCAGAATCGCCACATAACCTCATCTTCTCTAGTATAAATCTAAGAATGATTTTTGATGAAAGGTATTTCGTCGCATAGTCGAATTCCGGCTAAACAAATAGACTTGTAACCCAGACTTTGATGATTATATTTTTGGTGACCGAGCTTTAATTTTTTGGTGGAGTGAATAAAGAGGAGAGAGGAGAGGAGAGGGGCCATGTGCAATGTGCAGGAGGAGATGAAGGAGTGGGGGAGAGGAGGTAACCATGGTTAAGGATAAAGAGGGTTTACGTACATTAACGTCACAATTTGAACGGGGTCAGTTGCGTTGTGGATCCCCAGAAAACCACCTCTTATTTTAAACCCCCTGGGAATCACCAGCCCTCCACCACCGCCATCTCATCTCTATTGCTCTTTTTTATTCTTTTCTTTTCTTTGGCCCGAATATTTCTAATTTCAATTTGACAAAAACTGGGTCCATGATCCAAATCCATCAACGAGAGAAGCCGTAAGATCTAATATCAACGAGCTTATGAAATTTCTCCAGGGAAAAAAAAGAACTCCATAGCTCGGCAGGAGTGTTATTAATTTCTCCTAAATGATGCCGCGGTGTAATTTGCAAATTGACGCGACACATTCTTATTCGATTTCTTTAGTGTTGTACTGTTCGACCTAATAAACTGAATGGAAAAGAGTATCGTACTTAGCGACGAGTTAAGATGAATCTCGGGCATTATATTGTGTTAGGAAAAAGAAGAGCAAAGCAGCGTGTACGCTTTATTAGCAAATCGCTTGCTTTATTCAACCGGGTGCGTGGCCATATCGTCATCTTTTTTACCGATTCCAATTCCCAAAGTCAGATTGCAGGGGTCTCCACCGCTTCTGGGGTCTTGTTGCTCTGATAAAAAAAACGAAAACGAAAAAACACTTGGGAGTGAGTGAAGATATAAAAGGCAAAAATAAAAAAGAAAAAAAAAACGAATTTTTTTTTTTTATATAATAGGAAGAGACATGAAAAGGTTATATAGATGGACACAAGGGGGACGACACATGGCCTTGTTGTCGTCGCGTACTTAAAATTCCTGAAATCAAATGGGGGTTTGGCTTTGATTTGGAGCTTCACGGATCCGCATTTCTCGCATCCCTCGCACCCCCCAGGAAGGTATTCACCCCCCCAACCCCACCACACCCCCCCATCAAGGCCTTTGTAGCGTAGCATCCTCCTCCGCCCTCTCCTTTCCCTGTCGAGGAAACCTCCTCGGCTGAAACTCCTACGCACTCTCTGATTGGTCCGACTTCCTCAGTCCTGGAAGCTGTTTTTCCCTCCTCTCTTCTTTCGTTGGAAGGGAAGGAAAGAGCGGTGTTTTTTCCTCGAGTGGGCTCCTGTCCTTTTGGCCTCGGCTGAAACTCCTACGCGCTCTCTGATTGGTCCGACTTCCTCAGTCCTGGAAGCTTTCTTTCCTCCTCTCTTCTTTCGTTGGAAGGGAAGGAAAGAGGGGTGTTTTTTCCTCGAGTGGCTCCTGTCCTTTTGGCCTGGGTGTGGCTTTGATTAGTCATGGGGAAAGAGTGGTATTGGGGCGGCGGAAGATCCTCCAAGAGAGGAGGAGATCATAGGAAAGAGGAGACCTCTTCTGGGTGCATGTGTGCTGTCTTCCATTTCTTTGATTTTCATCAGTTCCAGTTTGCCATGAACCAGCAGCCTTCTTTCAAGTTCGGCTCTTCGCTCCCTGACGAACCCACCATTCCTAAGGGTAAACGTTCTCTCTCTCTCTCAAACTTGTCAAATTTGTTTTGCAACATTTTGGATAAATGTCACCTTGTATCATCTCAGGAACGGAAGCACCGAGGAACAGCTTGGAACTAGAGCAGCCTCGGTTAGAACCCAACCGGAAAGATGGTGAACTTTGTTTGGACATCCCAGTGAGTGTGCATGTTTATCGTCTCCCCACATTTTTTTCTTTGCTTTGAAAGTGAGTAATGATGACACTATGATGAGAAGTTGGGGGGGTAAAGACCTTAACGCTCGTTCTTTGGATTTCTTTTCTCTCTTTAAATCACGCAGATGGGCATCCAAATCAAAACCAGTGGAGACAGAAGGCAGAAGCAAGAAGGTCATTGCTGCGACTCTTCCTCTTCTTCCACTACTACACCTGAAGTCGTCAGGACTCCAACTCTTGTGGCCCGACTCATGGGGCTCGATCTTCTTCCAGACAGCTGCTCATCCTCCCCTAGAGTCTCTTCAACACTAGAGACACCCACCTCGATCCCCGGAAAGTGTCACCCACACACCGGCCGACCTCGAAAGCCGCGGCCGAGCGATCAAAAGAGCTGGTCGGAGAATTACTGTGGAGTTAATGCGGGGACTCGGTCTTTGCCAGAGACCCCGAGGATGTCCTCCGCCAGAAGATCGGTCGATGCAGATCGCCGTCTCTCTCTCCAAATCAGCAAGGAGAACTTAAATTCGAGCGAAGAATTGGAGTTCTCGCGCTTCACCACGTTGAGGAGGAAAGAATTCAAATGCGAGAATGAGAACAGGAGCCCGAGTTACTACGCGAGGCAGATTGTGAAGCAAGTGAAGGAAAGCGTCGGAAGGAAAGTTGGAATGGATATCACGAACATGGTCAGGAACAGCGAACAAGGAAGAGACTCAAATGTTGAAGCTGTGAAGAAGCATTTCAAGTCCAGGAAATCTTCCCGAATTGGTGTGAAAGCTGTGGAAGACAACTCGAGCCCAGGAAAGCAAGAACAATCAACAACATTTTCGCCTAGGCTCAGGCACCTGGAGATGAGGGACAAGAAAATTAGACCACCATCAAACGTGAAGGATCAAGTTTCTCAAGCTCCAATACCAGGTTCATCACCACCATCTCCAAGCAATGTCATTGATCTTCAGGTGCAACCCACAAAAGGTACCGTGAAGCTGAAGCCTCAAGCTCCTGAAGGGCAAGTCCTGAACCAGCGCAAGTCCACTGAGAAATGCAAAGCAGCGATGGAACGGTTCAAGAAGCCATCAAGAGCATCGACTCCGAGTATCATCAGGAACAAGCAAGAGGAACAATTTGTTCGCCCGACACAAGCTGCAGTGACATCATCGGCGAACGCTCCGGACAAGAAAAGGAAGAAAACTCCATACTCCGGCGACATGCATAGCATCGCCGTCCATACTCTTCTCCCAGTTAAGAAAGATCCTTCCCCTCCGGCTACTAAAATCCCCCAAAAACAGGTGCTTCACTTTTTACCCATTTCCATTTCCATTTTTTTTTTAATTTTTAAAGTGAACGTAAAGCTAGTTTTCTCTCCTTTTTTCTTCTTCTTTTTGAATTTCTGTTGGGTCATGCATTTTAATTGCGGTTACTGTTATAGTTTTTAGTTATCTAAACTTTTATGGGGGTCGTCGCAGGTGCATGGAGCTCACGCATCAAAGCAGAGCTCGCAGCTATCTGGTGGTTCGAGCCCGCAAGAAGCGACGCATGTGCTCAGTGCCCGAAAAGGTGAAGACGACAGGTCGAATGGTGGTGTTTCCTCCGCCACCGCCGAAACTGTAGCAGCCGAACTGCAGTACGTTACCCTAGTACTGAAACATTTAGGCATCGAAAGGCACACATCATTATTGTCCTCCATGAGATGGTTCTCCCCATCCCGCCCCCTCGACCCGTCAATTTTCGACCATCTCGAGCTCTTGTCCATTACGTCCCCGACAGATGGCGATGCCAGTGCACCGACGGAGATACTGAAGGGTCACTTAGAACCCAAGTGCAACAGAAAGCTCTTGTTTGGTCTCTTGGACGAAATCTTGGTACAAGTTTTGAAGCCTTGTCTGAATCTGAAGCCATGGGTCGGTACAGCTGAACACCACAGTCACCGTCATTATCATGGTCATGACAAAGGGTCGCAACTAATCGACAGGTTATGCACCAAACTCGAGAGCTTCCCGAGAGCAGACTGCCGAGTTCTTGAGGACATCGATGCCTTGATAGACAAAGATCTACCTCGCATGAAGCACCAGAGTTTGAGGGCGTTCGAGGAAGAAGGAGATGGGTTGGTAGCGGAAATCGAGCGGGACATACTGGACACGCTCGTCCAAGAAACGGCCTTGGCCATGGCCATGGCCATGGCATGAGGACATGTTATGTGGAGCGTGTGGAGCGTACGGACGGGGGGTGGAAGTTGTTCAAAACGTGACGAGACAGCCAACCCAGAAAGCATATGGGTCATTCACGTGATGAGATGCTCGATGTGGGTCAGATCATTTCATTAGGGATGTAGGGGGGGGGGGGGGGGGACTCCTTGAAAAGGGCTCGACCGATTTACACGTCGGACTTAGGTTTGGAGTTCAACCTCGCGGTCCCCCCGACCCGACAGGGTGCAGCCCCCGATTGGCTCAGACCCTTTTTGGGGCAGAGGAGTCCATTGCATTTGCCCTTTTGTATATTCTTCTTCGGAGGAGCCTTGTGATTAAAGAAAATATTAATAACAACGTTGGTGTATTTCTACTGTATATTCTGGGTCTGGTAGTGGTAGCGGTCCTATGTTGCAGCTGTGAGTGTGCCGTGGACTTGTCCCCCATGCATATGCATGGATTCAATTCAATTTCTTTGATAAATCAGCATTATGATAACGTCATGCGCGGATCGGATCAGAACATGCTTGATCTGGCCGGTTTTATTTTAACCCCGAGTTGAATTAGAACTTGGTACATCCCTTAGTAAAGAGCTGCAACTTGGTGCCTGGTGGGGGCTCTCGAAAATTGGTCATATCTAAGTTTCAGAGCTAGCCATATGCAAATTAGCATCCCAAAAGAAGGAATAATTAACATAAATTTAAGGACATCCAAGTAGTCGTCCTTGTTTAGTCCTGTTTCGAACACAGATTTCTCGGACTTACTGCTTGAGTCTCGAGAATTATGCAGATTGGAGGCGAACATACATCCCAATTTGGTCGCGGAAACACAAGGTACGGTCCGTCCATATATTACTCTACAACTCTTAACACTCCGTTGCCTAAGAGAACGGTCGGAGAGGAAACTGTAGCTCGGGCGAGATGGGCGGCCATCCGTACCTTCATCAATCGTGGTGGAGGGGCCTTCTGATGGTCCCCTGCTTGAGTACTGTTTATCTGATTGTAGTCTGTGGTGACAAGAAACTTCTTGGTAATTTCTATGTAAATCTTCACATGTGAACACTTTGAAAAAGAAATGTGATTTTCACGACATTTATTATAAGTCGCTAGACACTTAATTACCCAAAAGTTAGGACAAAACTTATGTTAAGTCATGACAAAAGCGACCGCACTACGACTAGCTGCCTATGACGTCCAAACGGTTTCTCCAGAAGGGACCGTATAAGCCTTTGAAGCAAGCACCCTTCTTATAGTATACGCGTTTGAAATGGGGTATGACCATAGGAAAAAGTTACCCCTATATGGTCTCTATTTATTAAATGAGGGGGATGAAGGTCAGCGAATGTGTAAAAAATCAAACCAAACTTTGAATTGTCGCCCTGGAAATAGAGAGGGACACTAGGTCATCCTTGCCAAAAAAGAAACGGAAAGAAATGATAATGGTGTGCTCTTATTTGTGATCCAATATGGTGGTAACATAAGTCGCTCAAATGAGACAATCGGTGTTTGTTTCTTCTGTCTAGTAGCTCAAGTTTTGGACGGAAGTTCTTAACATGCGACAAGAATCTCAACCATTCAATCAGTCATTTCCCATACAAGCCTAAAGAGTCCAGCCTCAAGATCCTTCTCCATCTAACAACTTAAAGTGTATTTGATCTCAAAGAATTGATAAAATTATCCAAAATAAAAATCCTCAACCTATTATATGGTGATCAATTTAGTCATAAAATTTTCAATTTGGCCAATTTAGTCATAAACAATTTGACAATTCTTCAATATAGATCTTCTAGCTAAGGTCGGATATTGTAAACGTGGCATGGCCGGCGATATAGCTCCACTCAAAATGACATCGTTTCGAGAAATTTTATAAAATTGTATTGTTGTTTTTTTTTCTTTTTTTCCTTTTCGTAACTGTTCATCTTCCTTGGGTTACCAACCATAGTGAGGGCCTATGAGCCCTCATCTAGATTTGACGGTGAGGGCTTTGACACCCTCGCTGCCGGCATCAGCGAGGGCTGACCCTCGCTTAGATTTGACAAGGGCTGCGGCGTCCTTGCTGACCACAGCGAGGGCTCGTAGGCCCTTGTCCGCTAGGTGATGAGGGTGTGCAGGCTCTCACCTGTGGCCGACAACTCTCATTGGCCATCGCTAAGGCTTCGACTACTTCACCAACCCTCTCCAGAAAGATGAACGAGGGAAAAAAGAGAAGAAAAAACAAAAAAGAATAAAAGAAAAAAAGAAATTAAAAAATTGATAAAATTTCTCTAAATAACGTCATTTTGAGGCCAAATCGTCCAAGTCAGCAGCTGGTCGTACAACGTAGCGATTTCCAATCTAAATTGGCCGGAAGGACTATATAAGGAAATTGTCAAAATGTTTAGGAGTAAATTTGCCAAATTAAGAAGTTTGGGACTGATTGCCCATTGTACAACATATTTAGGAATTTCTACACAATTTTCATCAAAAAATATCAGCAAGTGTACTATAAAATTATTTTCACCTTGCACAATCTTGCTTTTCATACGTCGTTATTGTTATAGTTCAAAATCAATAAAACACAAAAAAAATCTAAAGTGATCTTTAAGCAGTGACAATCTGACGATAGTGAAATAGGATTTCGTCAATTCCTATTTTATAGGAAACTAGTTTCAAATCTCAGATAAGGGCCATACTTTCAATATCCTTCATCCGGTTTTTCGATTGTTAGGTTACAAACATGTACATCCACATATATGCACGCGATTCCCAAAATTTATAATCGACCGATCAGAGATACGGTTGAGAAGAATTTCGGCCAATCGAAAGCAAAGGAAGATATGGCCCAACTTAAATTTGGAAAAGTTTTTAAACTAGAGGTAAAACCCCCTAGATTTATCTTGCATTTCTTGAGCAGTAAGGCGCCGGATTTACATAGCTTTCGACAGCGGTTGACTCGAAGAATTAGTGCAATGGTGGGCGACTAACCGTTGCTGCAGGAGTCGTCCCGTCTAATTCAATGGGTAGCCCCCAATATAGTAAAAAAGAGGGGCCCCAGGAAAAGAAGTATGAGTATGCCGCGGACAATGGTTGCTATCGACGTGAACGAACGTGCCATAGGGCCTGGAACTGCCCGAACCCAAGAGGAAACACTAGAATGCACCCCTGAAGTTGAAGGGCAATAATCAAAATGTCCCGCTTTCTCAGGAAAATGTTAGATGGAGAGTTATAGTATCTGAGAGCAGTGATGTACTCCCTCGTCAGTGCAGTAGAAGAGGAAGATGAGGGAATTTAAACCAAGACGAGGGGAAGAGGGAACACGACGCCCTGTTTGAGTCAATGGAAATGGCGGAGGCAGTCAAGTCAGGTCAGGTCAGGACCGTATCTGTTGCGTATACAATTGCGTGCTGTTCTCTTGAGAAAGCAACGATCCGCACGGACCATACTGGGCGGTTTCGTCCTCATTTATTGCTCGACCAGCAATAATATTATAACGCCAGGAGCGAGCGAGCATGGCATTGGCAGAAGGTGGTGGTGGTGGTGGTGGTAGCCGAAATCTGACGGAAACAGCAACCCCAAAACAGCCGAGCGGGAAAAATTCAAATGCATGGCGTGTACAGACGCAAACTGTGAAAAAAAATATGGGGGGTAGGCCAGTAGGTTGGTCGCAAGCTGACATCGTTGTGAAATTCAATAATGGGTATTAATGATGAGAGATTAGAAGGGTAGCCCATGGTTGACCCAATATGCATTTAATGATTGTCTGTCTGGAGGTGTTTGAGGAAAGACTACTTTTGGAGGCCTATAGATCTGTTCTCTTCTATGGACCAAGCTACGTTTGCCTCCTCCTGGGGTCTGTTATGCAAGCTTCGTGAAAGTCTTGTACCGGGTGATAGCTATTTTTAGGCGTCGAAACTGATGTTAGGTATTTATTGGGAGCTTTAGGGATTGATGGTGACTATGGATTGAAGAAGGGGGAAATCGCCATTACTGCTGCACAAAACGAGACGCAGCTTGGGAACTGCAAGCGAAACTGCTAGTTAACGCAATACATTGTGAAGGGGCAAGTGTTACAGACTTTATGCTTAAGAGTTTAGTCATATATAAGTAACAAAACCCGTAGAAGTAGACCAAGTATTTCTTTAAATTTTTACAAATTTGTTAGAAATAAAAAAAGATCGGTCTAATTCAGGTAGTCCGAGTGGGTGGTTCCACACATGGAACTGAACTGAAAATCACCGGTTTCAAAAAATTGAAATTGAGAATCGAACCAGTGCTCTTGAAAACTGTCCAAAATTGAGTTCCTTTCGCTCACCCCTTGATTTGCTCGTTGATATTCAGCTCAGATTCATGTCATAAAAGATCATATGCGCATTTGAGGAAATTATTCCACCCATCATATTTCTATCAAGTAAATGAAACAGCCTCTTACCTATTTCGTTTCACTGATCTCCGCAAAATAGATTTTTACTGGTGGAGTGATTTAGGGGTGTGCAAAACGGACCGTCCAAACCAAGAACCGCCCGGACCAGTTGGTTTGGGAGTGTCGGTCTAGTTCTCGATTTCTAAAAGTGAAACCGGTGCGCAAGTGGTCTGGCTCCCGGTTCTAAAGGAAATTGGAACGATTACATATATATTTTTTTATTTCTTCAAAAAAATTAGTAAAATGTGAACTAAATTATAAATGAAGCACTTTTTTCATTCGTCTTTTTAATTTGAGGATAATTACATACATGTCACTTAATTCAACACGAAAATATGACATCAAGTAGTGGGAAAAAAAAGTGACTAGTTCTATTGGACTGGACTGGAACGGTGGTCAGATCTTATTCCTGGTTCTAGGACCAACCAGTCCTGTCCCTGGTTCCCAATTTTGGGAATCGATCCTCCCAATCCAGTTCCCAGTTCCACCTTGGAGCCGGATCGAATCGGGAACTGACCACCCTTAGAGTGATTGAGTTTGATGATCAAAAAGAGTATCAGTCAAGGTCATTTTATTTCCTTTAAAGCATTCATTTACAAGTAGATAAAATTAGTATAGCCCTCAAGTTCCAGCAAATCTCAATCTGACAAAACCTAGTAGGCAAATCCATATATAGGATCCTATACTGGGTTAACATGTTAGAAGTATAACTGGCATCAGGAGGTTCTACCATTCGTATCAGGTCCAGGCCAGTCCATCCAGGTTCTCAAGCCCTCCTTAATGGGCTAAGGGCCCGTTTGGTTCGGCTTTGGGGGAATGCATTTGGGGGAATGCAAATACCTTTGGCCTAAAGGGGTTTTTCGAAATGCAAGTGGCGTTTGGTAAGTGTTTTATAAAATCAACTTGGGCTAAAGGACCTTTGGGCTATTTTTTTTTTTTAAAAAAAAACTCCGGTGGAGCTACATCGCCGGCCACCGCCT